GCTATGATGATGGGTCTTCATAAACTAATGCTCTAAATTAACTTAGTAAAATTTTAAGTAATTTATATTTATATTTTTGTTTAAAAATATCCAAACTAATGTCCAAAACTGTCCATTGACAACATTGCCTTTACATGGCAAACAAGTAAAAGATATAATCTTTGAAACTAAGTTTCTCAAATATTTGTTTAGAATTTAGATTTTTAATAGATTTAATAAATAGAAATTTATTGAGTATTTATAATTGTAATAAAAATAAATAATTTAACACAGTTCAAAATAAAAATTTTTAAAAACTATGAATCTATTAGGCATTGTAATTAATGGTAATTTTGTCTGAAAACTAAATATTTTTTAAATTTAAGTTTTTTGAAGTTGATAGTAACCAATTCAAGTAATGCTTACAAATTATAATATACAAGCAAGTATAAACTATAAAAAACATAAAGAATTGGTTTAAAAAAAAAGTCTACTAGCCAAATTAAAGTCTTTAAAAAAAAGTAATAATTTCAATATTTATATATTGTCTTCTGTTGCTGAAATTAAGTCTTTTAATTATTCTCATTTATGGATAATTTAAATAAATTTACTTATAAAAAGACTATAATTAAATAATCACTTTTTCAACCTAAAGAAAATAGAACAAATTCTATTATAAAACCAATAATTATATAAGATTATCAATGAATTTATCATTTTTCGATCACATACTGTAATTCTGGGCCTAGTACAAAATTCTAACATCCAAAATCTTGACAGATCATAATACTAATATCATGTGATGTGACAATTTGAAATTTTTAGCTATTATATCATGTAATATTAGTATTATAGTCTGTCAAGATTTTGGATGTTAGGATTTCATACTAGACCTAATGTTGAATAGATTTCATACAAAAAATCAAGCAATGTTACAAAAATCACTTATGCCAGCTATTTATTCTGTAATATAGTTAAATGGTTCTATTAGAACTTGGAGTGTTATGAGAAATATGTAGAAAAAACATGCCACATATAAAGTTGCAATTAAAAGATTAGATAAAAATTACTTTGATTTCTTTAATGAGGTAATAAAATATATTCAACTGGTTTTGTTATAAGATAACATTTAACTGCATAACAAAAATTTTAGCCTTTTTGAGAGCACTAAATTCCAATAATACTAAATTTATCATTTCATATTATGGAATACACAAGATCCCAATTCTAATTATTAAATAGTAGTGATGAAATTTGCCAAGAAGGCATGCCAATTCATATTAAAAAAATAAAATAAAAAAAATATATATATATATATTTGCCAAGAAGGAAGTTTATGAAAGAGTCTAGTATGAAACCCTAACATCCAAAATCTCAACAGGCCATAATACTGACATCACACAATATAAGAACTAAAATTTCAATAATTGTTAATGTGATTACTAATCTTTAAATGTTAATTGTCATGTCGCATGATATCAGTATTATGGCCTATCAAGATTTTGGATGTCAAGATTTCATACTAGACCCATTCAAGCTTATGTACTTTATTTGTAATATTGAGTTAAGAATTTTGAATATTAATTGGCAATTAAATTAATAAGATTTTATTGCAATTCATTAATAGTTGTTATCATTATTTTATTTTTACTATTGGTCAATTTTTTGCTTTACTGAAATTATAAGGGTCTAGTATGAAATCCCGATATTCAAAATTTTGACAGACAAAATTTTATAATTGCAAGCCAGGTCAGGCTGAAAAATTTGCAAAATAATAAATTTTGCAGACTGGACCAGCAAAAAATTTTAATCCTAAATGCAGGCCAGGCTGAATCTCAAAAATAGGCCCTATTACTAATCTTTAAATGTTAATTGTTATATCATGTATGATGTTAGTATTATGGCTTGTCAAGATTTTGAATATTGTTAGAATCTGAACTGGTCTTTGAACCAAAATTATGGTTCCTTTGAATTTTTCTATTTTATCTGTATATTTATCTTAGCATATTTATGTGGAACTTGTAAAAAAGGTAGGATGTGACTTAGGGATTTACTTAGCAGAATATAACATATACATTGCAAGTTATATAATGATTTGATTGAAGAAATTTAGAATATAAGAGCAATATTATATAGAATGTATATGTAACAATAATAGAATATATATATTATAGAACTTGCTATATAAAAAAAATAATGAAAGTAGTTTTAATAAGAATAGAAAAATATAAATATAGGTTTACTAGGCCTTTTAAAAGGGAATTATTAATTATTTCTAGATAGAATACTTTAATATTTTATTAAATTGTATCTAAATTGTTTTAAAAAAATTAATAAAGTTTTTTTTTTTTGCTTATTAAGAATCTAATTCTTATAAGATTTATTACATTATTATAAGAAGTTATGCTATGTTTCTTAATAAATATAAAGGAAGTAAGTATTGTGGCCAAATAAACCTTTCTCTGAGTAATTAAGAACTGTATTTTTACTAAGTTGAAATTTTTGTTAAAGACTAGTAATAAGACTACATCTAAAGCATATTAAAAGTATTTGTACTGATTAGTATTGATTGCCTATATTAGGAAGTTACCTAGTAAAAATTACATTATTATTTTGTTTGATCATCTCTTTATTTCAGTATATTGATTATTTTGACCTCTTTTTTCTTATATCACCATTTTGATAAATTATCTTATTCATACTACAAATATTTCTTTTCATATTATTTCTACTATAACTTAATCTAGTTATCCATTATTGTTATTATAAGTCATTCTCTCAATTTTCTTTATAATTTTATTGATTTATATTATTTATCTTGTTAATTATTGGAGTTAAGCTGTACAATATTATTTGTTTTCCCAATTTACAATAATAACAATGTCAAGATTTATATACTTCAATTTTTAATTATAATACTCTTAAATAGGAAGATATACTAAGCATTCTATATACAATTTCTATTGACCTAGATATAATACATTCAAATAAATTTATTCATTATAATCTTCATAGTAGAAACATTCTATTATATTAAAGAGATTGATGATTTAGAATTATGTTATTTATCAAATTACTCTGTTGATAATAAGCAGATTAAAATGTTTAATGTTTTATTTTATATTGCTTCTGAAGTTTTAAGTAGAAAACTATATACTGCATTAAGTTATATGTTGAATGTAACCTATTATTTGAAATTAATGTCTTAATATTTTATATATTATAAAATTTATCTTTTTGTAATATTTCTCATAAAGCTAAACTGCCTTTAAAATATGTAATAGATATTGTTCTACAATTTCAAAAAGAATACTACCAATGCTAGTAGAAATGATAAAAAAATGTTGAAATAATAATTAAAAAAATGTTTGATTGTTAATAAATTAGTTAATATATTTAAAATATGATTAAAAATTTATTTGGATGATAAATCATCAAATATTGTTAAAGAGTATCAAATTGCAAAAGAACAATGCAAATTATTAGAAATGATAAAGAAAATTGATAATGTTTCGAAAAATAATAGTAGAATTATTTATTTTAATAGACAAATTACAATTAAAAAACTTTTAGAATTAATGAAATTTAATGCAAAACTATTATAAAACATTTGTTTTGATATTTATTTCTTTTTACTATTTATATATTATTTTCTAAAACCACTATTGATATCTAATATAACAATTTTTGCACAGATTCTCATCAATTTGATTTGAAGGTAATTTTTTTAAATATATAAGTTTTTTTAAAATTTTTATCTAATTTAAATCAATTAAAATCTTATTTATATTAAAATTTAAGATAATACACTATAATAAAAGTTAATAATATTTTTGTTAAATTTATATAACCATTTTTAAATTTGCAGGATTTTTTTTTTTTTTTGCTTTGAACAATAAAAAGAATCGCATAGTACTGTATATATTTAAAAATATAGTTTCATCAAAATGATTTATGTTTTTAAAAATTTTTCCAAGGTTTGTATTTTTAGACTGCATTAGAGGCAATTATACAGGTTCCTGAAATTAACTTTCAAAATCAGGTGCTTTATTATTTAATAGTAATTTGATTTGGATGATTTTAAGTTTGTTACGTAACATCTTAGAGATGACCATTTTTCGATAGCAAACCTATTTCTAACAGATTACCGTATTTGCGCGAATTAACGCCCATGGGCGTTTTTAGGGACATACAGTTTGAAGAGAACTTGTAATTAATTTATTCGAGTGCGAACCATAGTTTTTACTCCATTCAAACTGTATCCCTAAATAACGCCCATGGGCGTTAATTTGCGCAAATACGGTCTATCAAAAATTTTTTAATTTTAAAAAATAGTCTGACTTTAGATATTAGCTACGAAAATGCAGGACTATGTCAATCTTGTCAATCTAGGCCAAGGATCGGCAAAACCTGACATATATGTCTTTAATGCCTTAAAGATTCTATATACAGTAATAGAATACAATATATGCGTATAATTACACATAATTTTAATACGTATATAAATTTTTAATGAGTCAATTTATATAATTGGCTCAAATCAAGACATTTGTTGGTCGCTCAACTAAACATTGGGTTCTCAAGTGCCTCAATGGATGTAAGCAAAATCCGGTAATTAAATTAACTGACCGAGTGAGTTGTAATTTTTATTCAAAGAAAAGATAAGTAGAAAGCCTTTTTTTCAAAGTTGCTTTGATTGGCTAAATCGTATAAAAGTCCGTAATGATTAAACAACTAATGGAAAATCCCATTGAGGGAACTGTTTGAGAACCCTAATGTCGTTTCCAGTGGCGCATATTACATGGTGATTGTGATGCATGAAATTGAATAAATCGAATAGCTCATCCTTATAGACAACTTTCTACTCTCGAGATTATCTATTTCCCCTGTGTTCCGTATATCGGCTGCAATGCTGGATTCAGGGGTAACACCGGTTAAATAATTCCCTAGCCGGTCATTGCTAACCGGATAATTTTAATTCTATTAAAGATGCTATAACACTCGATCATCTGAATGCATAATTAATCACGTTTTAATCTTAGTAGTGGTTCACGAATGCTCCAGAAACGAGACAAATAACATAGTCGAATAGTTAATAAATCAATTGCCATTTTGATTGAATCCTTAATCAATGACACCTTGGAACCATCAATTTCATGCCAAGTTACTGGAACCTCAACAATTGGCATATTAAAATATTGTGCAATAAGAAGAACTTCGATATCAAAAATCCAGCCTTCCACATGCATATTGTGGAATATATATAAAGCTGATTTACGAGTAAATAACTTAAATCCACATTGTGTATCTTTTATCGTACGGATTCCTAATATATATAATACTTTGTGAAAAGAATGCATAAGAAAGTTTCGGATAAACGATCGCTAAAATAAAAATAAAAATAAATAATAATATTTTGATTAAATCTAATAATAATGATTATGATATCACAATAAGAAAATTATAATTCATCGCCAGTGTGGTGCATTTCCATCCTTTAATTAAACCAAAACAAAAGACTTTTTTAAAAAAAGATCACCTAACCCAACATTCTGCAAAGAATTTTTTTTTAATCCTTTTTCGTTAGAATGAAAAAGAAGATATCATAAGCAAAATTCAGAGTTAGAAGTGGTTTTTTAAATGATAATCACTTCAATTTTCCTGATTTGTTGATCAGGGATAATGATACATCGCACCAGAGATGAATTTATAAATTTTTATAGAGATAATTATTAGAATTTATAAAAAAGGTACCTTTACAACGGCTTCGGTATTCACTAAATGTGCTCGAGATCCAACAGCTACACCAAATCCATTTTCATCTATAACTTCAAGCAATCTTTTTTCTAAAACTTCATGATCAGAAAACTTTGTAGCCCCATCCGCATCCGCAAAAAGTATATTTTTACCTCTGGATGATAAAATCCCCTAGTAAAAATTTTTCGATTACTATAAATTATTATAGAAATAATATTAATAAATCATAAGAATATCGTGTCAACCTGAGTAACTGCGCCACCTTTCTTTCTGTTCTTTTCCAAAGTCAAGACTCTTAAATCTACATGTGGATTAACTTGACCATATTTTAGTGCTGTTTTGGATGTACCATCAGTACTTCCATCATCTACCACTATGAGCTCATATTGAAAAGTTTGATCTTTAAGTTTTCGACTTTCCAGATAACTAACTGTTTCATGTAACATTGAAGGCATTCGTTCAGTCTCATTGTAGGCGGGAACTACAACTGATAAAGTGCAACTTGGCTCATCAGATATATCTGGTAATGGCTGTCGCTTTTCTAAGCGTGCTGTGAGGTAATACTTTTCTGACTCTGTCCTTGCACGTGGTTTGGGTGCGATTGCTATTAAGAGAAAGAAGAACTGAAGGAATTCAACAATTTATGAATGTTTGCGTAAATATAACCCTTTTACAAATAATGGTCAGCCCAAAGGACTTTTTATTCATTAAACTTACTGCAATAAGCAATGAGATCGTAAACAGCACAATAAATGTTAAATATTCCATCATTGTTTATAAAAGTGAATGTTAACGCACTTTCCAAATTAACGGTCGAATTCGGTCATGTGATTTTAACAATGTACAAATACAGAAATTGCATTTATCAGTTATTAATACGCACGTACGTACATCTCATGAATATTAATTACGTATGAGTATTTATTAATACTATAAGTGCACATGCTTGGGATCAAGGACGTGTGGTGTGTGCACTTATGGAGGTTTTACTGTACTGTATTTACTAAAATTTTATTGGTCCAAAAAATAATGTAATACAGTATTAAAAATAACTCATACAGGGGATCCCCAAAATTCCGGGTCGGAATACTTCGGATTTAGCCCGGCATTAGTTAGCATTTAGTAATACAAGTTAACCATTTCTGGGCCAAAATTATCAGCTGGGCAGCTTTACTTAATGAGTGAGCTATGGTTTCATTAATAAAACTTTTAGTGATCTTGGGCAAAATTAGTTAATTCTGATCCTGCTGATCAAGATTCCGATGTATTCTGATCCAGAATTTTGGGAATCCCCCTTTATGAGTTATTAAAAATATATTAGTTAAGTACATACATCGGCAAAAGTAATGCCTGATTTTGATCTTGTGATTGATGCTCAAATAAATACATATTGCTTACCTTTTTATAGTAATTTGTGGGCAAATCTTTTTTTTTTTTTCTTTGACTTTTCACAAAGTGCTTGCAAAAAAAAACCTCAAGTATAATAAGCATAATTGGTATTTCTAATAACAAACAAAGACAAAAGAGAAATTTTGGCTTATATTAAATATATGAGCACTTAGCAAGTTGCACAGAAAATTGAATATAACATTATTACAATCTAAAAGTTTTTTACTAAGTACTAGAAAATTAAGAATATATCAAATTTGTCAAGATCTGAAATATCTTATGCTCTCAATAATCAAAAAAAAAATGCTTTAATAAAAGCAGCTCTAAAAAAAAGATACAAGATTTTGCATAATCTTGTCAATAATTTAAAGTTTAAGTACAGTTTAAGAACTGCTTCTTGAGTTTTATAAAGTTCTGGTATTTGGTTTTATATAGCAGTAAAAAAGTTATTTCTTAAAAAATATAATATGAAAAAACAGTTTAAATAATATTAACAAAAATGTATCAAAAAACATCTATAATTGGTGACATATAATTTTTTCTAACAAAACATCTATCAAGCTTGATAAACAATTACACTAAATTAGGATATAGTGTCTCAAAGATAAAAAATACAAAAATAAGTACTTAATTCTGAGTTTTAATAATAATAGATGGTCAGTAATGGTGTGAGGTTGTTTCATTAATAGAATCAAGAGTCTTTTTGTTTTTTTTAATGAGTATAAATGATCAAAAGAAAAAATTAATAAAAAAATATATATTAAACTTTTGAAGAATTATTTACTATTATTTTATAAAAGAGCTAAAGCATCTTATTTATTAGTAAATACAAAAATAATATTTTAGTAGGACAATGTACTAATATATAAAATATCTGATTAACTTAAAAATAAAAAAATCTCTAAATTGAACTGATTTATAAGATCTTCTGATCTTAATCTTATTGAAAATATTTGGAAAATATTGAAAGATAATATTTAGAATTAAAAAAATTTTCTAAGAGAAATTGATAATCTCAAAATTATTTTTAAAAAAAAGTAGTCAAAATTAGATACATTGGTTTTTTTGAAGTCTGTAAACTCAGTTTGAGAAAGAATTAAAGCAGTATTGAAAGCAAAAGAAAAACATTACAAATATTAATTAGAAAAAAATATATATATATAGTATATTGTAAAAATAAAAAAAATCATATATTTGATTTTAATTTTGTTTAATAAAAAAATCAGGTATAGGGTGTGGCGACCTAGTGAAGTGGTCAGGTTGTCAACCCTCCAAGTGGTAGGTTGGGTGTTCAAATCCCATC